TAAATAAAATATTTATAAAATAATGTTGAATTATTCATTACAATTAAATAGGTTAATACCGTAACACTTTTTACTATTTATAGTAATAAATCATTTCATTAGTAATAGGGAAGCATGATTAAAAAAAAAAGTGTGTTGGATGAGGACACCCTATGCTGACATAATTGTCAAAAATATAATATATACATTGAGTCACGTGTCAAATTTTTTTGCATGGTCCAAGGTGGTGCACTTTTTCTGTACCTGTTAAATAACAAGAGTACCACATATTCTTCTTTCTTATTTATCCAACTCATAGTTAACTTACGGTCTCAGTATACCGTACGCAACCTTGATGATGTTCAACTTTATCTTCACGATAAATTTTCAGATGGCCCCAGTCATATCTGATTAAATTATATAAACAAACACTTTATGTTTCAAAAAATTAAAATACGACCATCTCAAACATATGATATCGATGTAATTAGCAAAAAAAAAAAAAAATTTATATTTTCCATATTGCCCTTCTATACTGAGTCTAAATTTGTCGAACACTGCCAGCACCAAATAATATTAAAATACAATTATATCACCCTAAAATTAATTTGATTATCGTATAGATTTACTTAAATCAATATATTTAGTATACTTTCAAAGCATAAATATCTATTTTTATATAATGTAAATGGTCCATTATCTTTGTGCGAGAATAATTTTATACAACGAGTAATTATCTCATATGGACGGAGAGGGTGATGAAGAAGCCCTGTGGAATTTGCAAGACAAGAGAATACTTGGGTGAATCGAACTGATGGCCGGAGACAGCCAAAGGGACTCCGACGCTTAAGTCAGATTGTAAGTCGGAGAGAATTATTGAGTGAATAGACTATGATTGAATGTCTTACTTGATATTTGATACCTTTATTAATAGTGGTAGGAAGTTGAATCCTAAAAGACTTCAAACTTTAGATTGTGATAGACCTCATCACCAACCCCCTAGACATTCAAGGTAGCATCGTACTAAGATGATGGGTCATCGGTTATAGGACGGGATGTGTCTGCTAGGAGGCGTTATTAATCTTATCACTAGTCTCTTGATACTTTGAGTAATGTTGGATTAGGACTCTAGGTCCTTAGCTGGTCCTTAGCTATGTAAGAGTCTCCTAGCAAAGGTGGACAAAAGAGCTTGAAGCAACTCAGGTAGCAAGGAGGTAGCTAACTCGTGGAAACATCTAGTCACCAATAACCTTCCTTAGGTTAGTGCCAACTACAAGAGACTTCCCCTTTGCCTAGCAACTCTTTAGGTGGGTTTGGGTCCATGGAATAAACCAACGAGGACCTCCCCTCAAGCTACTTTCGACTGGCAGGCAGTTGGCCCAAGTTGGTGCGTAGTCCTTGTTAGTGCCGACCAACAGTGAGTGTCTGGTCCCCACAATTGCCCCCCATTTCTCTTATAATTGATCAAATTAATTGAGGCATGTTTTTGAAGAGTTTGGACTTCTTTTGCCCAAGAAGCTAGGGCTTCAATTGCCTAAGGAGCTTAGGGTTTTTTTTCTCTTTCTTCACCTCTTTACTTACTTCCCTTTATGTTCCTTCACTTGGTTCATAGGTTGGAGCACTGATAGAAGGAAAGAAAAAGCATTCATTGCTACTCTTACAGGGGAATTACTTTGCTTATGAGCTAGCCAAGTGATAATAGTTGCTCGAGAGTCAAATCAAGTTTGATAGGGTCCAGGCAGACATGCTTGAGAAGCAACTTAAGATTCAAGAGTGGAGAATGCTTTCTTGAAGAAGAAGGTTACTAAGGTAGATACTCAAGCTGGCGAGGATTAAGTGAAGAATGTTGAGATAGAGAATTAAGTGAAGAATGTTGTCTACGATCATTACTCCAAGATCTTGGACAAAGTCAAGAAGAAATATGCAAAATAGAACAATTCATTTGGAGATGGTTGGGGAGGAGCTCTCAAGGCAATTAGATTAATGGGTCATATCCAACTTCGGAGGGGAGTTCCATGGCCTAAGAGTGACTTTTTGATTCTTGAGATTATGGAGAAGTTTCTTAGTGCTGGTGGTTTGAGTCTTCTAACACTTGTGCCCCCCGTTCCAACATAAGGGGAAGGGTCCCCACAAGTTAAGTTGTCTGATGCTCAGAGAGGTAGCAAATCATTATGAAAGACTAAGTAGCTTGTTGAGCAATCATAGAAGTTTTTGGTCACCCGTAGAAGGCTGAGTAACTTAGAGGGCAACCTTAGAGGTTGCATGGAGATGAAGTATCCTGAAGGGCAATCGTGGAGGTTGCATGGAGGCTAAGTAGCCTTGAAGGACAACCTTGGAGGTTTCATGGAGGTCAAGTAGCCTTGAAGTGCATTCGTAGAGGTTAGCTATAGGCGAAGGAGCCTTGAGGTGTAACCACGGAGGTTAGCTAGAGGCGAATAGCCTTGAGGTGCAATCACAGAGGTCAGTTGGAGGCGAAATAGCCTTAAGATGCAACTGCAGAGATTAGATTGAGGTGCAACCACGTAGGTTGGCTTAAAGTGCAACCACGAAGCTTAGCTTGAGTTGCAACAATGGAGATTGGCTTGAGCTGTAATTAAGGAGGTTGGCTTGAACTGTAACCAAAGAGGTTGGTTTGAGGTGCAACTACGGGGATTGGCTTTAGGTGCAAACATATGGGTTGACTTGAGCTGCAACCAAGGAGGTTGACTAGAGATGCAACCAATAGGTTGAATTGAGATGCAACCACCGGGGTTGGCTTGAGGTGCAACTACAGATGTTAGACTTGAGGTGCAACCAATGAGGTTGACTTGAATACCAACCATGGAGGTTATTTTGAGGTGCAACCAAGGAGGTTGGTTTGAGGTGCAACTAAGGAGGTTGACTTGAGGTGCAATTATGGAAAGTTGGTTTGAGGTGCGACCATATAGGCTACAATAATCACAAATAGAGAAACACTTAAGAGTTTTGAAAAGTAAACTTCTCCTTACTAATCAACAAGAATGATAAACAAATGTCTTTGAAGACTTGTTAAATTAGAGGTGGCCTTACTTGACCAACTCTTCTAGGTGGCACTTGAGTGCCAAGCAATTCACCGTCCAACAATGGAGGTTTTGGTCTCACTTTGATAGATCTCCTATCATCATAGGTGACTCACCTAAGATACTCATTACCTTTGATTTAGTTCATGACTTAATAGATAGGCTCCTTGAAAATAGTGTTGGTTCCTTGTTAGGAGTCCCTCATTCCCTTGGATGACCTGTCTCCTCTTGATGGGTTAGGAGTGTTGTCTTCCTCAGTCTGGTTTTTCTTTGGCAGCCAGTCGACTGGTCCGTTATCGTACTCCACTTTCATGTACCTCTTGATATGCTCCTACAAATATGACATACTCGAGGGCGGTCATATGGTGAGGTGCTTCCTCAATTCACTTTCCTTGAGGAGGCCTAAATGGAAAGAGACAACGATGGTCTTCTCATTGCATTCTTCTATGTTGGTATAGGTTTTCAAGTACCTTGTAGCATACTCACGGAGAGTCTCTCCACGTTTTTGGCATATCGCTAAGAGTGTGTCAAAGGTCATTGGCTCCCAACTATTGGTTATGAATCGAGAGATGAGCTCTTCTGCGAGCTGTTCCCAAGAGAAGACCAACTTCACCGGCATCCAATAAAACCACTTAAGAGCTAACCTCCCCAAATTGGAGGGGAACATCTTATACATTAACATATCGTTGCTCGTCCAAAGGGTCATCTTATTAGTAAAGGTCTCAATGTGGATGAGAAGATTAGACTTTCGATCATACACCTCGAAGGATGGAAGAGAGAACTTACATGGGGGCTCGACTTCTCATATGGACCGAACAAAAAGAGTAGTGATCATTTTTACAAGGGTCTGTCTTGCCCTCTCCTTCGCCATTGAATATATGAGGTCATCTTGAGCGAAATTGTGTTTCAACCAAGTGGCCACTTCACAGGCTGGTTCACAGTGTCTACGCTTTGTTCTTCTATAATCTGCGTACCAATCATCTCATGTAGAGTGATGGATTGAACTTCCACACCTTTCTCTACACTCCCCAAGGTAGCATTTCCTATGCAACTCGCCTCCCTTCTCCATATGACGAGGAGGGGGTTGTCTAAGTGAAGGGTCCCAATAAAAGCGTTGAAAAGTAGTGCGTCTTAGTGAATATCTGTCTTGATACCCTGCTCCTATGACTGGTGGATTAAGCTTCATGTGAGTGATCGTTGTAGTGGTTACTTTTAAGAAGCGGACGTATGACCTCACTAGCAAGTTTATTACCCCTTTGGAGCCATTTAGGTAACAAAGATTCTATGTATGCCATGGCCGGAGGTCCCATCCACAAATGTCCATCCATACAGTTACATATCCAATAGAGCATCACATGCATGCATAAGTAGACTGCTGAGTGCTTAGCAATAAACATACTAGTAGATGCAAGAAAAAGATTCATATAATTTAGATTCTACCACATTACATACGAATGCGAGAAATTTCATATGTTGAAGTGGACAACGTCAACTGGCCATCATTGGCATGTGGGAAGGATGATGGTAAGGAGCTCGGAATACATCCGTTACCAGATTATGAAATAATCATACTAACAATATGAACATGCACAGCAGTTAAAAATTGCATGAGAAGGTACAAATTAAGGTTACGTAATGGTTCCTGCACCTGTTCAACTGTCTTATGATTCCGGCCCATTCCACGTTGTACATGCACCAGGTTAGTAGGCTCAGCATGCCTAACTTGGGAACTGCATTTTCACATTAGTATCTGGATGGTCACATCATGCTACAAAATTGTTCAAAGCATGTTCAGCCGACTGAAAGTCAGGGTGGCATTGGCACAAGTATAACATTCTTCCTATGTCTTGTACATGCCAACTCTCTTCCCTACACAGATTGCATATACCACTTATGCCTCCACATTGCAGTCCTTATAGTAAAAATTGCGAGTCCAATAGCAACAATCCTATCACAATAAGGAACTTTAAACATGAAAGGATGATGACTTCAAAGAAATATATAACTCTATGCAAATAAGAAGTACAACCATAGCTAACGTCACAAAGTATTCAGAATAATTAATAGAGTTAAAAATGCCCACATGAAATAACCGTCATAAGAGACCACTTAAAAGCAATCGCACCCACTCAGCCTTGTCGCAATCCGACAAGCTAAAGAAGTAATCAACCTTTTGAGGGTCACCAACAATCATTGACCCAGCCCTTAGTCTCTCAACCCTTGCTAGCCCTTCAATCCTCTCAAGCTCCCCATTTACTCTCCGCCTTGCCTCAGCAGCATCATGTGCATATCCCACCCGTTGAGCAATGATGTCAAGCTTCTGACTGCTATCAGAAATGAAAGCAGTCAATGCCTTTGCCATCTCGCCTAAACCAGCAGCCCAGGCATCAGATCCACTAGCTTTCTTCCTTTTTTGTTTTTTACCTTGGGAGTTCTCTGCATCCTCATTTTGAGTTTGTGTGACACTAGTCGATACACTAGTGTCATCCAGCCCCACACTCATCCCAGCTACATTCTCATTATCTTCAGCTGCTTTCTCTCTCTCTAACCCCTCCACCATGTCTACCGGACATTCGGCATGTTCACCATTGGCTCTTTCCTTGCCAAATATGAGGCACCACTGATTGTAGTATGGCCATGGTTTATCTCTCATGGCCTTAGCATCACGGTATTTCTACAATAAGGAACAAAAGTTTGCAGAAGAAAATTCAGAACATATCAGTTAAAGAAAAGAATGTCTGATTGGTTAATGAGCAACAAATCTGAAATTTTGCTACCTTCAGATATTCCTCCCATATGTCATCATTCTCTACTTTAATCATCATATCAGTATTATTGTACCCAATTCCACCAGTCCTCAACATTGTTGCAAGCCGATTGTGCTGACGCTTCCACATCTTAATCTTTGACTCAAGGTGTGGGACAGCTCTAAGATCAGTGCTAGGCAAGGCTCTCAAGATTGAATTTTCCAGCACTTGCAGGTAACCAGCCCTAAAGGTGCCATTGTCACACTTCCAACCCGAGGAGCACATCTCCCTCAGTGCTTCAAGTAATTGCTCCTCCTCCTTTCTACTCCACGCCCTCCTTGTCCCCGCAGCTACATTCTCATTATCATCAGCTGCTTTTTCTCTCTCCAGCTCCTCTACCATGTCCACTGGACACTCGGCATGTTCACCGGTGGCTCTTTCCTTGCCAAATATGAGGCGCCATTGGTTGTAGTATGGCCAAGGTTTGTCTCTCATGCCCTTAGCATCACGGTCTTTCTACAATAACACAAATGGAAGTTCATCAAGAATGAATTCAGAAAGTATTAGCTAAAGAAAGAATTTCAGATTGCTTAATGAGCGACAAACCTAAATTTATTGCTACCTTCAGATATTCCTCCCATATGACATCACTTTCTACTTTAATCATCATATCACTCTCACTGTACCCTATTCCACTTGTCCTCAACATTGTCACAAGCTGACTGTACTGACGCTTCCATACCTTAATCTTTGACTCAAAGTGTGGGAAAGCCCTAAGATCAGTGCCAGGCAAAGCCCTGAAGATTAAATTTTCCAGCGCTTGTAGATAACCAGCCCTAAAAGTGCCATTTTCACACTTCCAACCCGAGGAGCATATCTCCCTCAATGCTTCAAGCAATTGCTCCTCCTCTTTTCTACTCCACACCCTCCTTGTACCCCTGTCCTTTTGGCCACTCCTCCTGCAGCTTGGAGATACAATCTCCATTCCTGTTTCTCATCCATCCATCAATAAGAAAGAGAATGCACACAACATGTAACAGCAGCCAAGAACAACCAAATAAAAAACATAACAGTTATGATGGGTAAATGCACGAGCAGAATTAGAAATAAAATTTCACAATACCAATACAAGGGAAAAAATCATGAACACATTAACCAAATATTCATTACATAATAATCAAATGTTAAATCTATGTAAAGAACCAATTGGAAATCTAAAACAATAACATCATATCAAAATCTGTCCTAACTAAACATCATTTGCCCTATCTCAGTCCCCAGATCCCTTGCTCATCCTCGACTTAATAAACATTTCAGAGCGAATTAATTTCTCCAAGCCGTCCTGACCGCTTGATGTCTCTATGGTGTCAATCACAGCATTACCAATGTCAAATCTTCTCCACCCAGATAAGGATGTGCAGGAACCAAGCTGTGATAATACAATTTTGAGACATAGCAAATCTAAACATGACTATTATGAAATGGGCTAGGAATACCCAGGTGAAACCAAAAAGCTGTGCCAATCCTTAACATTTTCGCAACAAAAAAAACAAAGGAATAGTACAGGACAAACACTGTTTATGATGGAATAGATACTAAAATATCGTACGAGAGGATAACCATCAAGATCTGACCTCAGGACAAAGAACTTTTAGCTTTTGTCTTGGGTTTTGTGGTGGAACACTTTTGGAAAAAACAAGTACCAATCTTGTATCAAATGGATCCCAAAGTGAACACCATGAGCCGATCAGGTGAAATAATAAGTGAAAATTTCTGGAGAAGGTAGGGGAGCAAGGTAGTGAGAGTAAAGATTGTTATAGAAAGCGGCCAACGTGTTCAGGTGAGAAAATAGGGGTCTGGGGTGTCTTGTGAGCAAAATGGTCATTCCCTCTCCTTATCCCATTTAAAGACTTATCCACCATACTCATCCACCCCTCAATTTACATTGTGTAATGACAAATTCACCGTTAGTATACGTCATCCTGTTGTCCCTAAGGTAGCAAAATATGCAACATGGGAGGGTGTTCCTTTATAGTCCAATCCCCATTGAAAGGCAAAATGTGTTTGGCTGAGAACAATCTCACCAATCAGAGGCAAATGTGTTCCAGTGTGAAACGAAAATCACATAAGGGTTTTGGGGTGTCATCTGAGCAAAAGGTCATTCATCCTAGTTGTTCCATTTAAAGAATTATCTTTGGTGTTTTTTTAAAAATGAAACAAAACTTCCATTAAAGAATGATAAAATTACAAAGACTACAAAATATGAACAAGTAATCCACCCGTTGAAGAGAATAAAAGACAAATACATTGAAGAAGTCACATGCCTATAAGGTCTAAATAGGTGTTCATCTCACTACTTGCAGCAATCTAGCCAGCATGCTCTTTATCACTAATAAGACTCCAATCCAATCATATGATCCTCTGCTTCACAACATCATCATCCAAATAAAGCTTCTTAAAATAGCCAGAAATCTCTTCTTCAATCCTCCATTCATCCTCTGAAACAAAATCCCCAACTTCCAACTATGTAATGATATTCTACTTTCATTTCTCATTCGCTACCTTATGCAATAGCTTGAGTTATTATCTCCCTCTTTAACCCAAATTTACCTTAGTTTTTGTCTTCATAAAATCTCTTCTTTAAATAACACTTCTTAAATCTACTAGGGGAAATACTCTTTTTCTTCATCAACCACTCACTCAATCCGCCCTCACACTCAAACCAATCCAACTTCCCAATATGATTATATATTTTGTTTCTTTTTACCCTAACATTGCCAAAGACATCTTCAACGTAATCACGGTAATGTCAATTTCACTATTGGGATATGTTATAATGTTGTGTATCCTTATAGGAATAGCAAAAACTCTGCATCCAATCCCCACCCTCCAAGCAAAATCTTAAAAAAAAAAAAAAAAAAAACACCTGGGTTCCGTGAAACAAGCAAACCCTTCAAGTAATTAGTTTGGTGGAGTAATGTGAACTAAATAAATGAGCATCTCAGTCCTAGCAGATTAGACTCACATCAAGATTGACAAGGCACAAAAAGTCCAATAACTGATGAGTAAATTCAGTATAGATATTGACAAACTCTCTCCAGTAAAAGACACCAAAGCGGTACTGGAAGGAATAAAAAATCTTTTAAACACAGAAGAGATAACATAAACCCTAGAAAGCTATAACAACGCTTGAACGTTCCTCCAGACACCACCAATCAAGATTCTCTGGCCACTAATTCGCATAGAATCACTCAAAATTCCTAAAAGTGAATCCACTATTCAATTACAAATAGTCGATAAAATCACCTAAAATTCCAAATCTTATGCTTGAACATAAAAACAATTTCTCCTAATTTTGTCCATCAATTTTTTCATATCATTAAAAGAGAACAATGGCATTATGAGGCAATTCTCCAACAATCTGCCGAATCAACCAATTTACAAGTGCAGTTAAATAACAAAAATGGCACTAGCAATTTCATTCCTGAACGAGAAAATGAAAGAAAGTGAGGGAGAGAGAGAGAGAGAGAGAACTAACCGAAATGGGTTGAAATTGAAGAGGCCTAAATGGGCGGCCGGAGGCGTCACGGCTTGCTTCAAGGATGATGGTCACAGAAATTTGCGTGCGAATGAGATGAAAAGGCGGCAAATTCGAAATTTGGTCGGAGATTTGAGATCGTAAAACTAGGTAGAAGTGAGAGAGAGGGAGATGACCACGCCTCTGTGTGTGATACAGTGAGATGGACAGGGAGGGCCGGAGTTCGAGGTGAGCTTGGAGAGTGCAAAATAGTTCATTACATCGGCTGGGGGCAATTCTTGCCCACAAATATTTAAGGTTTTTTGCATTTTTTACCCTAAAAGATATCTTAATTTTTATTTTATACCCTAAACAATTATTTTTCCCACACTATACTCTGAATGTCATAAATCAGTTCCATTGTGACCCTCATATTAACATCTATTTCAGATTCTATTAAAAATTAATACATATGTCATCTAAGATTAACATCTATTTCAGATTATATTAAAAATTGATACATATGTCACCCACGTGTGTTCTTTTCGAGTAAAAAATATTAACTCACCATTCATATTTTTAGATAACATATGTATTAATTTTTAATAGAATCTGAACTAATTTATGACATTCAATGTATAATATAATATAAAAAAATAATTTTTTAAGGGTATAAAGTAGGAATCAAGATATCTTTTAGGGTATAAAGTGCAATACTTAGGGGAAGGTATACCTTAAAATTTTAAGAATTTTTTTAACTTTAAAAGTTAAATTTTTTATATTACACATTTAATATATTAAAATTATTCTTCTGTTAATGTTACTGCTAATTTTTGTCAAAAACTACCTAATTGAGATTAACAAAATAAGCAATGGTGGTTAATAGAATAGTCATATTATAATATTTTTAATACATTAAAGACATGTTTAGTTTGAAAATAAACAAAGGATAGAATTGATAATTGGCTCTCTGTCAATCCATACAAATGAGTATTATTTGATCATATTGGATCAACGTTGGAATAAAGTATAAATTTATAATTGTAATACTAAATTCACGTTTAGATTAGATAATAGTATATGGCAGTAAATTGAAAATAACAAAATAAATATTACTTTTATATGAATGTGTGAATTTAGGTTGTAAGGATTATATAGTCATTGTGATCTTCATACTAAACCTGTTGCCACATGGTATTCATTAAATATCTAATATTAGGTGTTAAGTGTCAAGCCTTGAGCGCACTGAGTGCTTTACACTAAATTAATAGCATCACTTCTACCACTTGCATAGAATATTGGTAGTAGTTACAAGACAAAAAAGGATCCTTGATCCTCCGTCAAATATTTTTCTTTTTTCTGGATACTCAAGTTCAAATACGTATGGATTCGTTGTTTGTGTATTGAGTTCATAAAATTCAGAAAACATTAATTTTCTCAAAGCTTTTTGTTCATCTCTCTCATCAAAAGGTGCTCATTCGTTGAGCGTTGGGGATAAGTGGACAACCATTAGCATTGAGGTCAATCACCATACCACCTCTACCAATGATCGTGATTTTTGGTTACCCAGTTCATCTTACGCAATTACATCCGAATGAGTCCTTTTACCTTATAAATGAAAAACCTAAGGTGTCACACTCCATCTCGAGAGACCCTCTTTGATTTTTCAGAGATGGAAGCTTAACTCAACACGAGATAATACTTGTATTTGTAATGCAATAATGCATTTTAAAAAAAATCAATAATGCCACGTCATGCCACAATCAAAATAGAAACTATATAACAAGGTATACAACGATGTCGTTTTTGCCAAAATAAAGGATTAGAGATTCCATCTCTTTACAACAAACAACAGGAAAAACAGATACTCCTGGACAGTATGTACATAACCAAATTCCTTAGTTTTTCTCTTATCTCTACCACGTTATTGCAATAGTGGACCTCACACTAGACTTCGGCATCCTGAAACCAATAATTTTCTTGAGTGTACTGTATATCATAATAAATGAAAATATTAAAAATATGGATCAAATATCATTTTACCAAAATATGTTCACAATCCAAGGAGAACATCAAAATCAAAGTGTTTTCAACTCACTTTAAAATCTCATAATCTCTGCCAGTATAACAACATAATAAATAGTCTACATGTGCTATAAGTCAACAACAATATTTAAGCAATGTTAAGCTATCTACAACATTTAAGCAATGTCAAGCGGTCTCACGACAACTGTGCAGTGTCCAAATTAACAACATGTAAGTCATGTCAAGTTATCAACAACTCTAGCACAGTGGATACAATTTAAATCATAAGCTTTTCAACAAACCACAAGCTTCTCAACAAAACATATTTAATCCATAGTTTAAGCAACTCAACTCAAATCAATTCAGCAAAATTTATTTCTCACATATAAGAAAATAAACTTTGTATATCATATACTTTTATTTTCAAGTATTATGAAGCAGTACACTTCACCTTTACCGCTGATAGATACCATTCCTTTCTTTACGGTCGATTTTTATTTGTAACCGAGGTAGTAGCCTCTAACCCTAATAGTTAACACATGAATTAATTAAAATAAGTATCGAATCAAAAATAGCTTAACTAATGCAAATCCATGCACAGAAATGTGTTTTGCATCATTTCGGACCACTGTGCGTTACTACATTCACAACCCTAATCCGAATGTATGATTTTCAGTTCAAATTCAAAATCATCAATCATAAGTTTTAAAATATATTAATAATTCATAAGTAATGTAATACATGATTTCAAAAGGAATTTGAAAAACTTTGACTGATCCGAAATTGAGAAATTCTATCATGCGTTACTTTTCGATCCGAAATAGCCAAAAATAAAACGATGTTTATTGTTTAATGAACTTTCATACACATACTCAATTGACATATCTAAGAATTAATATAAAATTTATTTTCCCAAAATCATCCAAAAACTGGGTTAAATTGGCCCCGGAGGTCAAAATAGTTTTTTTAATCCTTATTTTGATCCGGCCGTCGGATCGAGTTGAAAGTTTACCACGACCTCCGTACGGACGTTATAGAAATTTTGGCACCAACCAGAGGTTAATCAGAGATCAGACGAGACCAAAATTTTTATCGGAGTCCATTACCCACTTCATCTTCCACGGTTTTATTTTGACTTTTGCCCTAAATACAAAAATTTCTGCTCAACCACTCTACTTTGACCACCTGGTTCTCCCACTAAAGTACATGATATCCTTTGATTTTTAACACCCATCTTCTCCTTGGATAACCTAGTATCAATCCCTCTTAGACTCAACCTTTGAATTGAATTCTAACATCATCAAATTATTGATCAAAGTTGGCCAAAAACTATTTTTTAAACACAAGGGCAGACTTGCAACTGCCAGTTTCACCCCCAAAACGACCTCTAAATCCAATTCCGAAGCCGGAAATGGATTCCTTGACCCCAGATTAGCTTAGCTAAACCCAAGTCCCCTTTTGAAGCTTAAACAAGTTTTGATCAAAATCACATTTTCACTTCTTTAAAACCCTCACACCACCATTACACAACCACACACAATGGCAAACCATCACACCACCACTAAACAACTCTCAAGACCCCCAAAACTCAACCATACAAATCAATTAACCCAAATCATGCTCAAACCTCAAACCCATTTCAAAATTCAAAAAAATCCATTAACTTTAAAACACAAATTCACGCATTAATATCAAACCAAATCAAAATCTAAATACATAATTGAGTTCCTAACATCTATATTAGGCTATGAATATACCTCTTAGTGCTCGAAGTAGTCTCTACAAGAAATCTGAAAATTCAAAGTCTATACTTTCTCTCACTAACTTCTCTTTCTCCTCTCTCTTTTTTCTTGGCGGTTCTCCCTTATCCAGAGACTTGCTGAACTCTTAAGCAACTCCTCAATCACTCTAGAAGCTTGGAGAAGGCTGAGGAGAACTCCTCTTGTGCTACCAGGCAGCAACTTGAGAAGAATGTCATGCAATGTCATTTTCGTAAATAACTCAATTTTTTTTTTTTAATTCTATTTTTTTTATAATTATAAATCTATTAAAACATGCACTATAAAAAATATTTTCCTATATATTTTTTATTTTTTTTCTGTACACATGCATGCTCAGGTTTTACATAAGATTTGTTTGATTTGAAATTCATTTTGGTACGTTGTCCTTTTCTAGAATGGGAGAATCAACTTGTTAACGGATCTCGTGCGTTCAATCCTTTTGATTTTTCTCTTCATAGTAAACTGATGGGGGGATGCAGAGCAATATATTGAATTACTATACAAAGAAAAAGTGTAAACTATAGGACTTCTTATTTGAGTAGAAAGATTTAGGTTTTTCTTGTTCCTTCTCTTTGATAAGATGGATACATATCTATATGGACAAAGATCTATCTATGAATCGATCTAGACTATTCTTTATCCAGATAGATATGTCCCTATGAGAGACTGCACTAATCTTTATATGTTTTGACCATGTCTGTTTCTGCTTCGAAGAAAAAGGTTTGGATCTCTCAATCTTATGTCATGAGGGATGTAACCTATGTTAAGTCCATAAGATACCATTACTTTTGGTGTTATATGATTCACCTCTGAATAATGAGTAGATAGTTCGATCCATTGTTGTTTAGGTTCTCGAGATTCTTAGTCGCTCTTTTTAGTGGGGAGGAATAGTGTGGGAATCACAGTTGTCAAATAAGGAAATTGTTCCTCTCTAAATCAAAAAGGATAGACTAGAATGTTTTTATTGATAGAGCTTTCACGTTTGTGCAAAGAATCATTTTGCTAGTCCCCCTTGTTCCATGTGGGCGTTATCATCTTTAATGGAATGCAAAGTCTTTCATGCTCTTCTTTCGGGTAAGGCTTCTTATATAATTCTTGTCTTTCTATCTCCATCCTGCTATTATAGTTGAATGAACTCCTATGCCTAGAATTCCTCTTTATCGCATTTCTTCCTTCTGCAAGAGCTACTAAAAGGTCATGGTCACTGCTCCTACACATCCAACTCTAACGGGAACTTCAGCATCTCTATTTGCATCTTTCTCATACGTAGTTTCTACGAATAGCAAACCTGGTTGGGAATAATGAGAAATTAATATTGGGTCGTTATACCCTAATTGAAACTTGGTATTATATCATCACCGAATTAAATTAATTCATCCAATCTCTTATTACCTAGACCAAACATGCCCTGAAGATATAATATAAAAAATCTAACATTTGAGGG